GACGCGAGGACCGCGCTGGCGGAGAGGGGCGAGGCCTGGCGGCGTCCCGCCCACGGAGGCCCCGCCCCCTCCGTTCCGCCCTGCCGGGGTCCCGCGGTAGGGGGAGCCCCAGCCCGGGCTTCCTGGGCCGCCCCAGTGTCCGAGTTCCACCTTCCCAAGAAAAAAGCAGGTTGTAGAGCTCCGCCCCCAGGAGGGCAAACTCCTTCCCACCAGCCCCTCTGGACAAGGCGAAGCCTCCCCGCACCGGAGATCCCCCTCCATAGGATGGGGACCCAGACTTTAGTGCTCCCTCCCTGCATAGTGCCAGGATTAGATTTGGCATCCGAAACCTTCCTTCAGGGACCAGGACTCAAATATCTGAGGAACTCCACAAAGAAGGATGCTGGGGGAGGGGGTCCTATCTCCACCCACTTCCCCCCTCAGGAACGGGAACCCCAACATCCGAGCTCCCCGTTAGAATTTACATTGGAACCCAGGATGGGACACAGAGGATGAAACCCAGGCATCCAAGCCAGCCCTTCCTGGAGGGGTCCTATATGCCTCTCCCCAAGTTCCTCCCCAAACCCCCCACAGGTCTGACTTGGCGGGTGAGGGGCCTTCAGGTGCTCCTATGCCCCCCAAAGATCCCAGTGCGGGTTGAAAATGGCGAGAAGGTATCAGACATAGCAGGGGGGACTCAGAGAGCATGGCCCTGCCTCTGTTTGGACAAAGGGGGAAACTGAGGCATACACCTCTCGAGGACCCACGTTCACTGGCTCACACATTCTTAAACCCGCTTATAAGGGTCCCACTAGCATTTAGGCACCATTTAGCCTTTGTTCCTTAACAAGGCTCAGAGCTGGGCACTTGACCCATTTCACAGCTAGGGACACTGAAGCACTGAGTGGCTATATGGCTTGGTGACAGACACTCAGCCAATCATATTTCCCCATTTATCCCCAGAGAGACTTGCTAAGGTCTCAGAGGAAGAGGTTCAAGCTCAGGTCACTGTCTCCTGTCTCCAGACACCACTTCCTGTCTGGGTGATTCTGGGTAAGATGTCAGGGCCTCAGCTTTCTCCCCTGTAAAATGAAGAGAATTATAGTACCCTTACCTGGGTCCAGTGGTTCTCAAAGGGTGCTTCAGAACTGGTCTCTGAGACCCTCTCAGACGCTCTGCCGGTCAAAGCCATTTTCACATTAACACCTAGCTGTGACCTGGTCGATTGGCAACCTAGGGATGGCTAAGAACACACAAGGAGTGAGTGGCTTTACAGAACAGACGTGTGTTGTCTCCTAGCCTGGAGGCTCAGAGGCCAGATCAGGGTGTCGGCGGTATTGATTTCCTTCCCAGACTGAGGAAGAATCTTCTAAAGTTGCCTTATCACTCTGCAAACGTGTACTGAAGGTCTCCTGAACCCAGGCCCTGTTTGAGGCCAGAGTTTGGGAGAGCCAGGTGGTCAAAGGGATATCTCCCCTGGTCTGGGGGTGCTAATGGGGAGCTGGGGGTAGGTGGGTCACCCCAGAATGTTCAGCTCTGTGAGTCAAAATCTTTTTTCTTTTGTTTGTTTGTTTAAAGCCTGCAGTGGGTGATGATGCGTCATTTGGGACCTGGCTGTAGAATTGTCCTGTTTGGGTTTTTATCCACCCTCCCAGCCCCTACTGTGTGTCACGTGGGCAATAGAGACCCAGCAGTGACTACACCAACCCCCAGCTGCTATGGAGTCCATTCCAACTCATGGAGACCTCAGGCCGGCATAGATCTGTGCTCTCTAGCCTTCACAACAGCTACTTTGTCAGAAATAGGTTGCCAGGCCTTTTTTTTCCAAGGTCCCTCTGGGTAGATACTTTCAGGCTTTCCGTTAGCACCCAAGCCCGCTAATGGCCTGAACCACCCAGGGCTTCCCAGGAGGAAATAAACGTGCAAAAATCCCTACCTTCAGGCTGTGTGTGCACAGGGAGACAGCTCAGGGGGCATGGAGTGCATGGAGGGACGGACACAGGGAAGAGGCAACTATGGGGAGGAAGAGAGAGGGGAGTTGTTGCATTGTGGGAAATTGTAGTCAATGTCATGAAACAAAGTGTATGTGAGCTGCTGTATGGAAAGTGAATTTGCTATGTCAACTTCCACCCAGATTACAATGCAATAAATAAATAAATATATTTTTTAAATCCCTACTTTGGTATTTTTTTATTTCTATAAAAATTATTGTGGTAAAATATATATAACATGAAATTTGCCATTTTAGTTATTTTTAAGTTCAGTGGCTGGCCTTGATCCTTTCACCGTGTTGTCCCCTCTGCCCAGCCCCTGGTCACCACTAATCAACTTTCTGTCTCTCTGTATCTGCCAGCTCTACACATTTCATATAAACGGAGACACACACAACTCGTCCTTTTGTGTCTGACTTATTCCGCTCGGCGAAATGTTTTCAAGGTTCATCCACATTTCGGAATGTGTCACGACTTCCTTTCTCTTTCTGCCTGAATAATATTCCACTGTACACATAGTCCACGGGGACGCCCGGTGGCACTGTGATTAAAGCATCGGCCTGCTAACCGAAAGGTCCACGGTCCAAACCCACCAGCCAGCCCGTGGGCAACAGATGAGTCAGTCTGCCTTCATAAAGATTTTTTTTTTACTTTATTTTTAATATTTTGATTGTGGTTTGGGTGAATGTTTACAGAACAAATTCATTTTCCATCCAGTAGTTCGTTCACATTTTGTTTCATGACATTGACTGTAATTCCCCACAGTGTAACAGCTCTTTTTGCTTCTGTAAAGATTTACAGCCTTAGAAACCTTATGGGAACAGTTCTACTCTGTCCTATAGGGTGTGTGTGTGTATCTATCTATGTGTGTGTGTGTGTGTATTTATAATGTACCTTTTTATGCATAAAACTATTAAATACTTCCAGATACACTAAAACGTCTTTAACATAATCAGTAATAGTAATATTTTGATGTGCATTGTAAAGTAGCACCCATTTGTTATTTCAAACCATTATATATGCTTCGAATTTTTAATATAATAGGCTTTACAGGGGCTGGTTTGTAACTATGGGTTGTACGTAGGTTGGATGTTCTTAACCCGGGGGCTGCCTGCAGTCAAAGGTGGAAACAACCCGTGTCAATCACCAGATGCGTGGATCAGCAGAATGTGGTATAAGGTAGCCAAACCAGAGCCCCCTGAGAGGAACAGTGGAACTGGGAAAATGAGGGTAAATACCACCCACCCACTCAATAAATGACCCCCCTGGGCCAGGCACTTGGGGGTCTTTCTGGGAGCCTGGTTCCTCCTCATGCCCATGTGTTGTTGCCTCAGCCTCACCTACACTCCCTCCTTTCATTCCTGTCCCACCCAGGTCCTCACTGGTCTCCTGGCGCCGGTCTTGCCTCTCTTCCAGGCCACCTAAGGTGTCAGAGAAGAACCTCAACCACATTGACGACCAAAACCAAATCAAACGCACCACCATTGAGTTGATTCCAACTCACTGCGCCCCTAGAGGACAGAGTGGAACTGCCCCACAGGGTCTCCAAGGCTGTCAATCTTCACAGACGCCTACACCCTCCTCTTTCTCCTGAGCAAAGGCTTGTAGGTTCAAACCAATGACCTTTTTGGTTAGCAGCTGAATGCTTTAACCACTATGCCACCAGGACTCCTGTTCATTGAGAACAGCAAGGGCTAACCCTGTCACCTCACCATAAAGTTACAAGAGGACAAAGAGATTCAAGGGATCAGAGTGAGAGAGCTTATCAGCCTTGGTTGTATAGCATCCTTGTGTGTGGGGTCCTCCTGTCCCCACCCCTCAAGTGA